AAAGAGTCTGTGCATGTTCATGAGTGATTGGCGCCGCTCGTACGGGCGAGATAGCTCTGCGCCGATTCCATGGGATCGGGGCGGGAGGGCGGTAATGTGGGGTAAAGGCCTGGATCTTTGTCCTTACGACGATTTCATCAACAACAACAATATTAACGGTAATAAAAACGACATCGATCGTGAGGTGATGAGCTCGATTACAGATGGGCGAGAGGTGAAGAAGATTAGGTTGATGTGCAAACGGAAAGGTGGGGTGTGGGCACGAGGAGTGGGGTGGTGGCGAGAGGGGGTTGGATAGGGGAAGTTACAAAGCTGGATCGTCGCTTCCTGTCCTGTGACGAACCACTTCCCAAACCCGTGCTATCTTTCGTACCCCTTTTTGCTTGTATCATACCCACCCCATAAAAACCCCGTTTCGTTTTCTTGATTTTGGGTACCGCTTTTTCTGGGCCCCCATCTTTCGGAAGCTTTTTTTCGACTCCCGGGTTCTGCTTTTCCTTTCTGTAATTCGGGAAATACATAGGAAATTACGTGCGCCTTAGCGAACACACTGGGAATTGGGCTCGGCAGTTGGGAATTCCGGGATAAGCGGAACATCGACGTGTCCTTTTTCGTGTGTGTGAATGTTCTTGGTCGCGTCGGGGAAAACTCTCAGAATTTTGTGCGAATACGAATAGGCGTAGGATTTTTATTTTCCCGCGTCGCTCTTTTCCGCGTGGATATGGTGATTTCAATTTTGAATTAGGCTGTAACTGTTTCGGTGCCTTTTTCTCTGTTTTTGTTGGCGGCACCGCGCGTGCCAAGCTTTCTCCTCTCTGTCCCCCACATCGCTCCCTCCCACGCACCTTTCCCCTTCTCCCTCCTCTTTCTCTCGCCCCGTAACTATTTTCTTTCTCTCTCTCCCTCTCCCGCCTTGCTCTCTGCGCGCCCCTTTTCCTTTCTTGATCATCTTAATCTTGGACCCGTCTTGCGCCACTTCTCGCGCCTTTTTCTCCCCTCACCCTCTGGAACTGGAGCCCGACACCCGGTCGGTCCATCGATAACTCCCGCTCGCCAATCAGGTGCGTGGATCAATAGGACCTTCCTATTGCGCGGCGAATCTGATTGGTTGAACCTTGAGTTTCGAGGGATCAACATGGCGTTCGTAGAGCATTCTTCTCAAAGTCTTCTCCTCCTGCTTCTCCTCTTACACCTCAGCTTTCCCGTCGCTCTCTCCCCCTTCTATCTCCCCTGTCACAACTATAAAACCCGCAAGCGCATCCGCAAATCTTTCTTCCGTTCTCGACTCTCAAGCCAGCTTCCGGGAAGCAGTGGCTAGGCAGAGTGTTTGATGCGAGTCGGAAAGTCCTGTCGAGCTGACGATAGGCTGGCCGGTTGCGCGCTGGATCGCCACGACGGACTGTGGGATCTGGGGGAACCGTGTCGAGTCTACGACAGCGGGGTGACGATCACAGTGGCGGGAGTTAGCACGCGGCGGCCGGGATCGTCGGTGCAGGTATGAGGATCGATGATTGGAGTTGAGTGAGTTATTGGCCCGGGGCCATATTGGAATTAACGACGAATGCGCCTTTGTTGTTGCGGATCTTTTTCTCTGAACTTCCTTCTTTTGGGTTGCGTCATCTCCTATTTAGACTCTCTCTCCCCCCTTCACCTCCCCCCTTTACCTCTATCTTTGAATGATGATGTACCTCGATGCTTCTCTCTCTCTCTTTCCCCTCTTCTAGATGAGCATGAATCTGTATGCTTTCCTTGCGTGAAAGAACTTCTTCCGGAACTCTTCCATTAGTTTCCTGGGTAATCCTCCTGCGCAAGGACCCCGTCTTCTTGTCTTCTGAACGGTGGATGCGTGTGTATTGTGCAAGCGATCCATCTTTTCCTGTGCATGGCTCATTTTTCGCATCTTCCACAGTGAATGAATGTATGGAAATGGGCGTCTCTTTGGCATTGATTAGACGATTGTCGTCGGGATTTTGTCCGAGAATGCAAGAGTGTTTAGATCTGTGGCTCTGAGTGCACTGCGCATGCCATCTGCCTTATGCTGTCCGACATCAACAGTCGAACCACGAGGCGGCCTCGAGAAACAAGGCGTCGGGGATCAACATCGCGCTGGCTAACCAAACCGGAGCCGCGGATCGGTCCCTTAGTTGGCGTAATTGAACTGCTGAAGTGTCTTCTTTCGCTCTCTCTCTCTCTTTCTCTCTCGTGTTGAAGAAGGTTGTTTCGGAGTTGCGCGAGTGTTTTGATGACGTCGCAAGGTCTCTACAATTGATGGATATGTGGACTGACCAGTACCCTCCGATCGGGCACCAGCCTCCCGTACCTCCCGTCCCAACACGGCCTTTTCCCTATAACGAGGGACAGACACGTGTATGTGAGTGGGACGTACGAGAAGCCGTTGCACAAATCGGCGGACGATACTACTTCCCTCCGGCCAATCGTTGTTTAGGGTTCGTAGAGGCTGGGTTTGTCATTATCGACACGCATTTCCCACCCTACTCGATATTGTTGCCATTCAACGAGTTGATCGTCATCCCGTGGACGGCAGTAGAACCCCACTGACCACGCACTCTGTGCACTGAATGCCAGCGTTTTGAGCGCTACGAATCCAGGGGTTTCCACTACCGTGTGCGGAGTGAAGACGAGCATAAAGAAAGAGCCACGTGGCTGAGACCATTCACGTCGGACTCGGAACTGACCATCGAACGACGACGAGATTTGATACGAAAACGAGACACGCGGAGCGTGCCAAAGCCTTTCCGTTCTAAACGACGGGCTGTAGCCCGGTGGGAAGCCCGACAATACTTTTTGGATTGAATTTGGATTTTTCTCTTTTCGCGCCGTGCCCGCGCGCGCATTCCGCGACGCGTGAAAGCAATCGACTTGCTTCATTGGACCAACGCGGGGGATTTCAGTTCCATATGTGTCCCCGCACTCAATTTCCAAAAATCCTTGGCACACCCCTTCTTGCTGTTTTTTTGGGCCTCTTTCCACACGCCTAACATTCCGAACGAAAGACAGCACAGGGCGTGAGGTTGCGCATCACATCTGGCCACGTGGCAACAGGACAACTGTGCTTTACTCAGTTCTCTGCTCACTGCCTCGCCAAGCGCTGCAGGCGAATTTACACTTTAGGATTGTGCCAAGTGTCAGCGCTGCTAGTGTGATTGGGGGCCGGGGCAGGAGAAGAAGCGATGATTGGAACCAGGGCCGCCTGCATGATTGACCACGTTTTGACTGATTAACTTAGCGGCTCGCTGTTAATCCAGGTAATCTGGTTAAGTTGCGTCCCCCCCACTAGGGTGGATTCGTGGATTACGAGGATCGTGGGGGGTTGGGGTGCAAGTAAACCTTCATACTATATCGAAATGGTGGAACCGGACGTCGTCGAATGGTTCTGCTAAAATTGATTTTCTAAACCTTCATTCTGAAAGCCCCTCCTCCCCGGGAGCTGCAAGAGCGATTTTGAAGATGATGAGGGATTCAGATTAGGGGTAGGATGTTAAATTGCGGTGGCCAGTTAATCCCCTCGGTTGAGGGCAATCAATGCTGCTCATCGAATTGCTAAAGTGTGCCAGCGTGTCGATTTACGTGTGCTCTCATGTTTAATCTAGGATGGGCATGTGGCGTGATTTACGTGTGCTCTCATGTTTAATCTAGGATTCACAAAATGCCCCTTCCTTAAATGTTGAGGGACGCTGGACCCGCTTTCCAGCAGGTGTTGCTCCCCACCAATAGATGGAGCCTCCCTGAGTTTGCTAGTGGTGTCTGCTCTTATCAGCACCCCTAGCACTTACTCGGGCTGTTTCTTGTGAAAAAAGAAGAAAAAAAAAAGAAAAGAAAAAAAAAAGATCTACAAGTTTACAACACCATTTTTGTTGTTTTTTTTTTCTGAAAACTTTTTGACCCCCCAAAATATCCCCCAAAGTCACGGCCGGAGCTTGGCCGGCTGCGGCCCGACTTCCGGTCACAGCCGTGTCCGCAGGGCACAAAAAGGCCCCCGGTCCGGTCATGACCGGGGGTGATTCATAGGAATCATTTCTGCTATTGAATGACATTGTCTGGAGGCTGGAGCAAGCCATAATAAAAAGTTGCAATCCTGGTCTGAATGCTCGTGGCATGAAAAAGTGTACTAGCTCAGTGGTTAGAGGACCTGTTGGAAATGCGCATTGTGGTATGAGGTTGCGGGTTCAAAACTCCGCAGCCTTGCGCATGGACACCGGCAGGGCATTCGAATGACGCACGGCTGGACACACATCCCCTTGGGATGACGCAGGTAAGTTATTACAGACACTGTCTGCGCACTACCCAAGGGGTAGTCCATGGTTGTTGTATGTGGGGACTGGGCGATGGTGGGTATCCTGGTGTTCTTGGTCTACGGGGTTGTCACGAGACTGCTGGGTGGCTTGCATAGTTAGGTTTACTCGAGCCCCGCAGACTACAGCTACAGACTATTTCACAGTGTAGGTCAATAGGTTAGGTCACTTGCACGATTCACATAAAGTCCTGTGTTCGACACCAGACTGTAACGTAGGGCTGGTCATCCTCTTAGTACGTGGTCAGAGGATTGAGGCTGGCATAGCAGTTCCTTATTACAGGATGTCAGCAGGGTTCCCATGCACTTCGGGATTCTTACCGCGGGGCCGGAACGGGCTGCAGGGACATATGAGGGAACGGAGGATTGTCTGCTCAGATTACCATCCTGTGTTGGATACCAGACTGTAACTTAGGGC